AGAGAGAGAGAGAGAGAGAGAGAGAGAGAGAGAGAGAGAGAGAGAGAGAGAGAGAGAGAGAGAGAGAGAGAATAAATTGATGAATAATTTGTGACATTCTAAATATACACCCGACAGCGTGCTCGACAGGCGTCTCAATTGATAAATCATCGTGCGGTGATGCGCGTGCACGCGTTCGCTAGTGATATTCGCGGAAATTGGCCAGACGGCCGGCGCGCCGATAGTTTGCATATCACATTATGATTATGCATCTATTAAGTGCGCGATTAGCATGAAATTGTCGTAAAACGATCGCGAGGATGCAACTCGCTGGATCGCGACGTGAAATATCGTGAAATGTCGTCGGTCGGATAAACAAGACACCACCGATGCCACCGGTGCGGCGCGCCGGTCTTGTGTGAAATTATAATTTGTAATGCATCGTGGTATCGATCGTAGAGGTTTCCTCGTAGCGGGGCTCCGACGAAATCAGCATATATAACGGAGATCGGTATAAGTGGGAGAATAAAAGCGCGCGTTAAAGCGCACCGGCCGCGCTCGTACTTGGAGAAGAGAATCGGCCGTGTCTTTCCGCAAGAACACTCGTAGATTTTGCGTTTGCTACAGGAAACCGGCTGACTCCACGATGATGCTCGCTCGATTTATACCCGCGTTTGCTACTGGTGGTCACGCGCCGCTGGCAGTAGCAAGAACAACGCTATCGAATCTCGCGGAAATGAACGGCAGTTGCCACTGCATATTACAAAAAGCCAAGCCGGTGAATGCAATTTTCGAAGAGACCGCACGTTGCGATTTTCGAGCCCACGCCTCGATGCGTTATGAGAACAATAGAGCGTATTTTAACGATGCGCAATTATTTCATGTGTCTAAAGGCCCGTCTACATAGGCTGCAACACGCAAAACGCAGTTTGCAATCGCGCACACATCTAACTTCAACTTTCGGCGTTTTCCCTGCAAACGCAGAGAAAACGCAGAAAGTTGAAATTGGATGTGTATGCGATTGCGAACTGCGTTTTGCGTGTTGCGGCTTATATAGACGAGCCTTTATGTAACAAGGTAACATATACAATATAAATATAATATAAATGAACAATACATATATAATATCAATATAATAATAAAACATATATAATATAAATATATATAATACATATATAATATAAATATAATAATAAAATAGTATAAATTATATAATGTGTAATATATACAATTACGATAACAAGAAAATATCAATCGATATGTGCCATAAACATGTATTAATAGTCGTTACTTGAAATTTGTCTAAGGTGAGATAGATTCAGATTTGAATTTAGATTTAGATTTGAGTTTTCTTTTTAAGCCATGTAATATATGTGGCATTATATTTGTAGTCACGATTCAACTGAAAAATTCACCTAAGTCCAAATCTGAGTATCTTATCTGAAGTAAGTTTCAAGTAACGACTATGCACGACTTATCTAAATATCTCACCTCAGGCAAGTTTCAACAACTATTAATACGGCTCGTAGATCTGTATCAATAGTCGTTACTTATCTCAAGATACGCAGATTTGAGATTAGAGTTACATGTGAGTTTTTTAATTGGAATCACATGTTTGCAAACATAATGTCGCATATATCATGTAATTCAACTAAAAAATTCAGATCTAACTCTGAATTTAGATCTGCATATCTCACATCAGACAAGTTTCAAGTGACGACTATTGACACGGTTCTTAGTACGCGTCATTAAAAAAAATAAAAAAGAAATATAATCTAGAGTAAACTACATATAATTGTCGGCAACCTCTTAGTCACTGGCACTCCAGAAAAAATGATTTTCTATGCGACCAACATTGCAGTTAAGTTTCTCGCCTGCACTCTATAAGTCTAAAGAGATTAAAACTTTCTATTGAATCAGTAAACGATTTTTCATTACTGGAAGAATCTTTCACTACTAAAACAATGAGCAAATGTCGTTGATCGTACGAAAAACCAAATTTTACCAGAGCATCAACGACTAAGCGGGATGCCACTAATTGCATGGTTCCCCTATCCCCATCGTACTTTTTTCACAAATATGGGAACTCACGTGCCGCGAGTTCCGGAACGAAGTGGAAGCGAGAAAACGGACTTTTTCCGATCGCGGACCGGAGGGAGGGGACTGGTTTTCCCGCTTATTGACCGGCTTGGCGGGTTGCACGCGTTCCACTCGCGGTGAGTGAGTACGACATTATCGCGGCAACGGCCGGCTGCGTGACGGCTGCGATCACGGCCACGGTAGGGCATACACATCGCGGTGTTCGTGCGTGTACCGTGCACTCCCGTGACCGGCAGCCTTCTCGAGGTCGAGGAAAGGGAATACCGCCGGCAATGGTCGTGCGAGAAACCTTCCTCGTGACTGAAATGCCGACATCACCGGCTGGCCGGCCAAGCGACCGACCAACCAACCAGCCTAATCGACCAGCCGACTATCGTCGACGACTCCTTTCCTCGACCATGAAAGTAAAAGCGCGCGTGCTGACAAGCCGACCGCGAGAAAAAGAGGGAAATGGAGCAGGAAGGACGCTCACTCGGCGATTCTTCTGGTCGGACTTTTGCCGGAGGCGCGCCTCAGTATCGGTCGCGCTTTCCATCTCTGATTTTCGTCAATGTAAAAGTACCAATTCTCGGACACGTATCTAATCCTGAACGTTTTTATTGTTCTTTGGTCTTTAAATACGAACATATAAATTGTCATCATAAAATATATGTGTACTCTCTGAAGTACAACCAGCCTATTTATCATTGAAATAATATACTCACAACTGGTAGATAGAATTATAGCATTGCAATCAGTAAAATCTTGCTGAAGAGATCAAATAGTAGCAATAGTTAATAACATTTCTATTATTGATGCACTTCGCAAACGTAGACAACACGTTCTTACATTGGTCTTTAAACACGGACATTTAAACTTTCATACAACATAGAATATATGTGTACTCTCTAAAGCAGCACAATCAGCATATTCACTGTGAAATGTTATATTTACAACTGGTGTTTCAATTAGACGTATAACACTGAAATCAGTAAACTCTTACCGAAGAGATCAGTTAATAATAGCGACCATTCCCATTTTTGATGCACTTTGTAAACATGGGCAATGTCATTGCATGCAAGGTAATTCTATTACCGCAGAATATACCGCAGAAAGTTAAACTTGGCAAAGCATATAACGAATTTATATATTTCACTTCTTCCTTCCACGAGTTAAAATAAATGAAAAATAAAACAGCACAGTACGGTGGCAGTAGGAGTTCTCCAGTAAAAATTAGTGGATACTCACTGATCATCGATGAAATAGACTTTTTACTGATTCAATCGAAAACATTTTTACTCATAATTCACTTTAAAAGAGTATATTCAATATATTCAATATATATATATATAAGTCTTATTCAATATATGTATATTAGAATAATTTTATAGTAAAGATCATTGTATAGAATTTGCTAACCAAAGAATAGATCGACATTCTGTGATAATTTATTATTCTTTCATTTTACTTGTAATATTTATATATTAGAAACTAAAACGCGCTATTAAAACTTTTTTATTTTTCGAGTGAAATCTGCTATGTTTCTAGCGAAATTTATTAGCAAGATAGACCTTACTGACAGTCTATTTCAGCACTATCAGAATCATAGTAAAATTGAAGAAAATTTATTTTAAAAAATCTACAAGATTCTCTCTATGTATGAAAGTTCCATAAAATTTTATTCAACATAAATTTTATTAAGTATTGAAAGTTTTACATATTCATATCTAAAGATTGTCTCTAAAGATCAAAACAATTAGAACGTTCAGGATTAAATACGTATCCATGCATTGGTACTTTTATCTTCCACCTGTCACTGTTAGATCTTCTTTCTTTCTTCCCCCCTCTGCCGTTCTGCCTCTTTCTCTCGCAACGTGATCGTTTACGACTATTCAAAAACTGCAATTATTTAAGTAAAAAATCTATTTCTTCTTTTTTCAGGCCGGAAAACAGGATACAGTCGACGAACGCGCCGTGCAGAGTGCGGTCAGAGAGGCCTTGTCCGCCGAGCAAGTACAGGACGCCTTCCGGCGCTTGTAATAACGTGAGACATCCTGCCTGGGGTGCCAGGGGCTCGCCGTTCCTCAAGTTATTGCCGCCTGCGTATTCAGACGGTAAGTAAGCATCATTCGGATCGTAAACGCACGTTCTTTCACTCGGAGCCAGTCAATTATCTCCCGTTACAGCGGGAGACCAAGTCGCCAGAGACAATTACCGTCCCGTTATAATTTCTCGCGCCTGAATTCGCCCATAGAGTGAGATTTTCGCCGAGCACTAACAACTGATTTCCCACGAAGTGCGAGCGAATAAGTTAAATCTCGATAACCACCAACGTTCGCGGAAATAAATCGCGATATCATGGCGTTCATCTCTCTCTTTCTCGCGCGCGCGCGCACGAGTATCGAGTCGAGAGCGGAAAGTGAACGTTAGAGCGTTCTCAGAGGGAAAAAAGACGAGCGACGGCTTGTCCACGAGAGAAGTAATAGACAATAAAGAGCCTCCAGTTCCTTCGCTGGGAAACTTCTCTTGTGACATGCGGCCGCAATTAATCAATGCTCACCGGAATTGGCGAGCGCTTATCCACGTTCGCGTTGCTGTCGCTTCGCGCCGTCGATATATCGCATCGTGTATCGCGAATGGAAAGTGAAAATTGGAACGCGCGTGCTAGCTAAAACGCTACGAGGCGCGAGCCTAGATCCATTTCGACGAGCCGCTCGTGGCACGCTTGGCCGACGGAGGAGCCTTGGGTTTAGAAAAGGCGGATTAGCATGCGGGAAGGCACTCGCGAGCACGGGGCCCGTTGAAATAGAGAGTCCCCGTCGTGCGCTCTACGTGCGCATCGATTGCAACACCGGCGAGCGCGCGCACGCTATAAAATAATAGAGAATTCTACCTGCGAACTGATCGTTTGTACCGGCCGTTACGTGCTTGCATCGCGTAATGCACCGTTACACCGTGATGTCTCGTCCATCCATCTCTTTGTTTCGCTCTCGCTCTTTTTCCCGTTTGTTCTCTCCCGGAAAGAAAAACCATTTTTCCAGTCCCGCGATCGCGCGTCTCCGCGTTCATCATCGCGAATATCGATTCACCTCGTCGCACGATCTCTCAAACGCATAGGGTGTGACAAGTGAGTAATCTGAACGGAAATAATTCTTATTCTGAACATTTTTATTAATTTTTAATAGTTGCGTAACAATAGTTATATATATAGTTCAATTAAATAATTTAAAAATGAAATTATTCAATTTAAAAATTATTAATTATTCAATTAAATTTTTAAAAAGTAATGTATTAAAGTCTTTTTTAAATATATAAGAACTATATAATTTATAATATTTTATAATTGATACATGATTTTAAATATATAATATATTTCATTATAAAGAATATTTTTCATTATAAATATATAATAAATAATATATACAATATATTTCATTATGAGATATATTTTTTTAAATATATAAGAACTATATATTTTATAATTTCCTTTTTCTCTCTTTATCGTATAAACATTCTTCAATACTTTTTATTTATATAGTAAAGATACGTTTCTGCGAAATCGACGTTATCATCCTTGAAGATATAATAAATTTTTTATATCGACCAATTTTTGCAGATGAGATTTGTAAATAAAAAATTTAGAGATCTGTAGATCATAATTGCAAAATATGACAGTGGGATAATGTCGGAATTTTTTTATATTTTTTTGTTTTGTTAAAAATCGTAAATAAAAGCAAAAATTTTCTATATTAAATATAGAATAATGATATCTTCTTCTGAATATCTTCTTATCTATTATTTTAAAAGTTACACTGTACTTTTAGATAACTTTTCTATTTTACGTATTTATATCTCTCTTTATAATTAAAAAAAGTTATTGTAACTTAAAATACAGGATAAACAAATAATTAACCAGATGCCATTGCATTAAGACATCATATATCACTTCAATATTACCTTTACAGATTATTTGATGTTAGTATAGAAAGTATAGTTAGTATAGAAACTTCTCAATATTAATTTATTACTTAATATTATTTCGGTAACGGTCTTGTCGGCTTTAATATTGCGACTAACATTCATGTCAATTTGCGCTGGTCTTTTACTAATTGTAATGCGTTCGTGTCGTAAACCTTGAGTTTTATTATCACTGAAGAGGGTTCATGGTTAAGCCGAAACGTATGATTGTTTTATATTGATTATTCATGTTCAATAAATATTACACGATTTCCTAACACAAGGAAGGTTTTTACCCATATGATATATAGCACTATTAGTCCTGTGCTTGAACTCGAATTGCCCTTTTTCCTATTTTTTGATAGTATAGAAAGATTGTGTCGATACAAATGTTAATTCTACAGAATAAATATTAAGAGGTCAGTATGTATATATATAGTATAAAATTAAATTATTTTCCTTCAGATCGACATTTCTTTACACTGAAGAACCCCTCGTTCCGTTATAATTTTCTACAATACCTCTTATAAGTGTTGCAAGCGTTCTTGTCATTGTCACAAATTACAAAGGAAAGCATTAACTGCAAATTGTACTCGTATGTTTTTATCGCGTTACAATACTAGAAACAGGGACGTAAAGCAAACGTTTATATTTTTCGCAATTACGAATATCCGTATCTGTTGATTTTTATTGTTGGCAAATCTATCTTACATTAATAAAATTATGCAATAATTATGGGAATCGCGTTTAATGTCGTTATTACGACGGCAAGTGGATGTAACTTGCGTGCAAATGCATGCGGGATTAGATTTATTATTGTGGGAATCATCAATTATCGTGTAGGAAGTATCGGTATCGGGACGGAATATCGCGAAGCCGTTTCTATGTCCCATTAACTCGCGTTTAACAGAACTCGGTATTCTCGCGATAATTGAGCGAAACTGTAAAAAAACATTGGCATCGTGGAAGCGCCAGGTCGGTCGGTCGGTCGGCCGGACTTGGCGATAATCCTCGCGTGTGCAGAAAGAGAGGGAAAGGCAGCTGCCGGCGCCCATCTCCGGGAAAAGAATCCGAACGAAAATATGAAAGTGAGAAGACCGAAGAAAGTGACTCTGGTCTTCTGGGCAGTGGTTGCCACGCGGTGCCTTTCAACGCCGCTGACCCCAAAATACCACAATGGTCACTGAACGCCTTCCCGTAAATTTTCATCATACTCATACGATCGCGGAACGATCATCCAGAGACGCGTCTCTTGCCAAGTCGGAGACGTGATTACGTTATAAGAAAAGAAAAAGAAAGAGAGAGAGGGAAGGAAAGACAATAGAAATCAAGGAAGAATTATTACGATACATGCAATTACAGCTTCAGAATTGGAGTCTTGTAGCATTAACGAATTTATATAAATGCGTCAAGTATGATTTGCTTGAAACCTGCTTGAAACTAATGTATGATGATTATGAAGTTGGCGCATGACAGCAACCAAACAGTAAAATGTACGTAAAGATGCTCTACGGAGAGAATATATGTTATAATATCTTTTGATATAAATTCTTTTCAGTTTTAACACACTGAAAAAAGAATACTTGAAAATTTATTTGTAGGATACGAAGTTTCCCGTTGAGAATAATTATATCTTCTGTTAATAGCCCTCTTTATAATCTTGCGGTTTTTTTGCATAAAATTATTTACCAAAAAATTCCCCCGGAAAAAAGTAAAATTAATAATAGCTTTGATTTGGTTAACAATCTTGCATTTAAACATTTCGAGGAACATCTTAAACTGGTTTCTCTTGATGCTATCTCTCTATTTACTAATATTTCTCTGGATTTAGCATTGGCGTCGGTAGACAAACGTTGGCATTATATTGTCGATTCTATTGTGATTCCTTGCAACGAGTTTTTGTTGGCTTTGGAATTTGTTCTCAATTCTACATTTTTTACTTTTGACAATATAACTTATAAACAAACTTTTGGTAGTCCAATAGGCTCCCCATTGTCCCCTATTATTGATAACCTAGTTCTTCAAGATTTGGAAGAAAGAGCTATTAACATGATTCCGGTGACATTGCCTTTTTATTTTAGATATGTTGACGACATTCTTCTAGCGGCTCCTAAGGAGTTTTTGGATAACATATTGCACATTTTTAATTCGTTCCATCCTCGTCTTCAGTTCACAATGGAGATAGGAGATGACTAACTTCTTAGACACTACACTGTTAATACGTAATAACACAATTATTTTTGACTGGTATCATAAACCAACGTTTTCTGGTCGATACTTTAATTATTTGTCTTTCTATCCTATTCAACACAAGATTGGCATAATTATTGGCTTGGTTGATAGGATGTTTTATTTTAGTCATCCTCCTTTTCATAAGAAAAATTTGGATTTTATCATTTTGACGCTAATTAATAATAATTATCCTTTTGACTTAATTTTTAAAGTTATTAAACGTAGACTGAGGTTTCTTATTGTGAATGGTGGACGAGTTTCAGAGACAGTAGAAACAAATTTGATAGCTTCTGGGTGTGATAAAAAAAAATATTTTATCTTACCATTTTGTGGTTCAATTTCGAAAAGACTGACAAAGCTTTTTAGAAATAATTTAACAGATATTGCTTATTCTTGCACTAATAAATTATCAGGATTAATTCGTGTGCATAAAGATAAGTTGCCTTTTGGTTTCCATAATAACATTGTATATAGGTTGCAATGCAGTGGCTGTAATGCTTCTTACGTTGGTCAAACTAGTAGAAGACTCTCTACACGTATTGGCGAGTATAGAAGAATTCCTAAGAGTTTTACAGTGGAGTTAACGGTCATACAGGAACATCATTTGAGGAAGAACCATGATTTTGATTGGGATCATGTCAAAGTTTTACATGAGGAACGCTTTTAACGCCTGATCTCAGAAATGATTTTCATCAAATTTCAGAAGCAAGGTCTTAACTCACAAAAGGATACTGAATATTTGGGCACCAGCTACTGCTTGTTAATTGTATAATTGTTATGAAAATGAACTTTGTTTTGGTTTCTTTCTCTTCCACAAGTCGTTTAGGCAATGTTAATGCTAGGTATATAAATCTGTAATTATTTGTATTTCGAAGACGTGGCGATGTTATCGTTGACAGGATCGGTTTACTTTTAGATGAACTCA